AGAAAAAAGCAAACAATCAACAGATGCAGAACAAGTATTTGACAAAATCCTACATGCTGTGATGGCTACTTTTATATATCAGCTCAACTGGACCAGATTAAATTAGATTAAATTAGTGAGGGAGTCTCTGGACAAGATTACTGTTTAAGTCTGCAGAAGGAGCACAGTGGATTGTTCTTCCCGATATGGGGGGCCGGGGAGACATCCAATCCTCTGAGGGCCTGAATAGAACCTAAGGTGGGAGAAGGAAGAAATCCCTCCTTTCTCCTGCCTCACTGCATGAGCCGGGCATCTCACCTCATCTTATCCTGCCCTAGGACTGGATTTACACCATCAGCTGCCATGTTCTCAGTCTTCAGACTTGGACTAATTACACCACTGGGTATCCAAGGTATCTGGCTTGCAGATGGCAGATCGTGGGCCCTTCCCAGCCTCCATAATTGCATGAGCCAATTCCTCATAGAAAAATCTCTTTTTGTATCTATACCTCTATGTATCCTATTGACTGTTTCCCAAAGAATCCTGTATACCCTTCATGCAAGCACTCAAGACATTCAGGAATTGAGAGAAAATCCTTAACCAGATAAAAAGTATTTGTAAAAAAGCAAACAAACAAGCAAAAACCTATAGCTAACAAACTCAATAGTGAGAAACTAGAAGCTTTCCCAGTAAAATCAGGGGCAAAGCATGGGTATTCCCTCTCCCAACTTCTTTTCAATATTATACCAGCAGTCATAATTAATGCAATGAAATAAAAAAAAGTTTTTAAAAAAGAAAGAAGAAAGAGCAAACAGGAAACCAAAAGCATGCAGAATGAGAATGAAGAAATAAAACTGTCTTTGCTGGGTGTGGTGGCGCACGCTTATAATGTCAGAACTTGGGAGGCTGAGGCAGGAGGATTGCTATGAGTTCAAGGCCAGCCTGAACTACATAGTGAGACCCTGCTTCAGAGAAAGACAGACAGACTGTCTTTGTGTACACAGGGTCATGTATGTAAGACACCTGAAAGAACCACCAAATAACTCCTAAGAAGCAATTATAAAGCAAGGTTATAGGGTGTAGAAATCACCTAATTTTCTATATACTACCAATGAATAAACAGAAGTTGAAATTAAGAGGATCATACCATTTAATTATTACTCTAAAAAACAAGATACTTAGGTATAAATCTAACCAAATATGTACAAGGTCAATATAAAGAAAACTAATAAACTCTCACACACACAAAAAGTCAAAGAACAACTAAATAGACACCACATGTCTTTACTCAACACTGAGTACTGAAGAAGACTCGGTTTGTCAAGATGTCAGCTCTTCCCAACTTAATCTACAGATTCCATGTGATCGTAATCAAAACCCCATTAAATTATTTTGTGGACATTAACAAATTGACTGTAAAGTTCATACAGAGAGGGAAGCAAGCTAGAACAGTCACACAATATCAAAGAAGAACAAAGTCAGAAGACAGCACTCACAGCCTGACTTCAAGACTTACTATAAGGTATGGTAATAAAAACAATGTGGCCACTGGTGAAAGAACAGATGGGTCACTGTGACAGAAGAAACAGCCCCCAAAAAAGCTCACATAAAGACAATCAGTCAACTGACTTGAGAAAAGAGCAGAAGCAATATCATGGAAGAAAGATAATCTTCAATAAATGATGCTGGGACAAATGGACATACACATTTTTATAAAATCCTGACACATTTTATAGGATTAAAAAATCCTGGTGGACTTTATATCCTTCACAGAATTACTTAAAACAGAAGTAGGTCTAAACATAAAACATGTGAAATGGAAAATTATAAAAACATCTAGAAGATAAAATAGGAGAAAATCTAGATGATACTGGTAAGGTGATGATTTTTTTGATATAACACCAGAGTGTCAAGCTATAGAAGCAGTGATAAGATGGATGTCCTTAAAATTAAAACTTCTTTACAAAGAGCACTACCAAGAAAATAAGACAAGTTATAGAGTGGGAAAACATATTTGCAAAAGGTGAATCTTACAAATTTTGGAACAATTAATCTGTACAGTCACCAAATGAAACACCCAATTTAAAAATGAAATCAAAGGACCAATCAGACACCTAACCAAAGAAGATGTACAAATGAGCATATGAAAAGATGTTCCACATCCCATGTCATCAGAGAAATGTTAAGATTTCCATTATGAGAAAATAACAAGATACCACTACACATGTACAAGAATGGCCAACACCCAGAACTCTGATAACACCATCTGCTGGCCAGGACATGAAGCAACAGGAACTCCCCTTCATTGCTGGAGGGAATGTCAAATGGTACGGCCACTTTGTTAGACAACAATTTGGCAGTTTCTTACAAAAGCGAACACATTCTTACCATATAAGTCAGCCATTAGATCACTTGATATTTATTCAAATGAGCTGAAAACTCGTACACACAAAACTCCATACAGAGATGTCTACAGCTGCTTTATTTGTAATTCCCAAAACTTGGAAGCAATTAAGACGTCCTTCAACAGGTAAATGAATAAACTGAAGTAAAGAATGGGATATTATTCGATGAAAGAGAAACAAGCTGTCAACCATGAGGAGACACTGAGGAGACTTTTTTTTTTTTTTTTGACACTGAGGAGACTTTAACATGTTACTAAGAGAAAGAGGCCATGTTGAAAAGACTGATACTATATGATTCCAATTATATGACATTCTAGAGTACATAGATCAGTTCTTATAAGGGCCTGGGGGAAGGGATGAACAGGTAAATTACAGAGGATTTTTAGGGGAGTGAAACTACTCTGTATGGTACTACAATGACGAATATGTCATTACACATTTCTCAAAACCCACAGTATATTACACCACTGAGAGTGAACCCTTCGGTAAACTGTGGACTCTGAGTGATAAGGATGTGTTTCTGTGCATCACTTGTAACAAATGTACCACTGTGGTGCCAGATGTTGATGGGAAGGCTGTGTGTGTATGGCACCACTGGGTGTATGAGAGCTCTCCGTAGTCTCCATTCTATTCTGATGTAAACCTAAAACAAAAACCTTCAAAAAGTAAAGCCCATTCAAAAGAGAAAAAAAAAAAAAAAACCTCACAGAACAGTGAGAGCTAACAAATGGTGGGGGTTGTTTTAAATCACAAAACTTTACAGTACTAGACAGCTAAGACATCATCCATAGAAGAAACTGAGTCACTGCTAACATCCATTCTTGCTTTCTTCTTTTATAATAGAATGCTTCAGTTTGGGCTGAATAAATGGTTTCCCAACCAAAGATTGTGTTTCCTAGCTTCCTCTTAACAAATGTGGTCACAGAACTGAATTCCAACACATGGGCACAAATGGATATAATATAAACAGCTTTCAGGTCATGCTCTGCTAAGAAGAGGGATGCCCTTTCCTTCCTTTCTGCCCCTTATGCTACAGAGAAAGCAAACATGACAGCTGGGACAGCCATACTATATGAAGTGGAAACACAAGTTAAGGACCTCAGAGGAACCTGGTAGGAGCCAGGGAGCTTTCTAGATACCACACCAGCTATGCACCACAGTGAACCATGCTGCTCAGTGATCTGTACTAAAGGTTAAATGTAGAATGGGGAGAAAAACTAATCCTGATGACCCATAAGGTCATCAACCCTCCTGATCCATAAGGTATATGCTATCCTTTAGGTAGGGCCTCCTAGTTGTGCTTTCCAAAACCTATTAGCATTTTATTTCATTTCATTTTGGAGCTGGAGACTGAACTCAGGGCCTCAAGCATACTAAGTACATGCTCTACCACTGGGCTATGCTGTCAGCCCCCACCTTTGCCACTTTAAATGATGACTGCTGATTTTAACTCACTCTTCTGCCCTTAAGACAAGGTCCAAACTCTTCAGTGAAATACACAAGGTCTTTCACTATCTATACTTGCTTTTTGATCTGAGCCCAACTCTTTCCACTCCCCCATCATACTCTGCATTCCAGTCCTATTGAGTGGTTTGTGGTTTCTGGATCATGCTTGCTTTCCCTCTCCCTAGCAGCAATGCACAAGCTTACTCACACGTTTGCAGACCTATCTCTGTCCACAGCCCCTCAGATCCCCTTTCTACTTGACTAGCTCCTCCTAAGTAGTTGGGATTAGGTGTGTGCCATCATACCTGGCAAGCCTAGGGGTTTGTGGCTAGCCTGGGCAATACAGTGAGACCCAACCAAAGTAAAAAGATGATAATAAAAGAAATGCAAGTCTCAAAACACCTTTAAACTTACACCATAAGTCTGAGGTGTGCCTGAAAAGCATGATGGTGACAGAGATATTTAAGTTTACTTTTAATTCTGAATGCAAATTCCCTCCATGACCTTTAGAAGCTATTGAATCAAACCCTTCTATTAACAGGAAAGGCTGAAGGGTAGCTCAGTGGTAGAGGACATGCTCAGCATGCAAGATCCTGGGTCTGAACACACACACACACAGAGAGAGAGAGGCAACAGAAGAAGCTACTGCAGGAGAGGGGCCACAGAACCACCCGAGAGACCCACCATTGAGACTGGAAATTTCACGGACTCAGGTCATTGATTCCAACATTCAAGACAGGGAAAGGCAGGTGGGGCCCAAGTCATCAGGGCCCTATGAACCTCCCACCCCTGGGTCTTACCCGCTCCTCCCCTGAGACACAACACCCAGCACGGCATCTTGGAGGAGGACAGCTGGTCTTCACTCACAGTCACAGCACACGGTCGGGCGGCTGGGCAGGGGGCACAGCAAGGGAGAGCTGCTGGCCTGAGGGCAGCCCGGAGCAGCAAGGGAAGGTAGGGCTGGTGGGAGCTTTGCCCTCCGGTCCCAGGCCACGTGGACCCCTCTCTTCTGGCCAGACCGCACCCAACAGCACGTGGCTGCAGCACCCTCGCCGGCCAAAGGGCCAGCCTCTGAGAGCGCGAGCCCACGCGGCCGTCTAGGTGTACCCCGCGACAATGGCATGCCCGCCTCGCTTCCTTTTCGAGGGGTGAGGGCAGCAGGCGCCTTACCTTTGGAGACTCTGTAGACTTCGTAAAAAGAATAGAAGTGGAAGCCCAGGGACGCCAGCAGGTAAAGAGCCAGTTCCCCTCGGGGCAGCATGGTACCTCGGGACCGTTCCCAACACAGGGCAAGTTCCTAAGAAGGGAGCAGAGACAGCACATGAGGCATGACGTCAGACAGAGCCTCTTCGCTCGGGTCAGCGCGCACTGCCAGGGACCTTACCTACCCAGGAGGACTCAGACACAAACCCCTACTCCAGCATGCACACGCACTCTCTTCTGAGAGGTCGGCTCTTCCCGTGTCCACACTCCTCTTCCACAGAATTCTCTCCTCCCTTCAGACACACTCGTCCGCCGAGTGGATCACTGGGGAGAGGAACCGTGATTTCTGACTCTAGGGGAGGTAGATCAGAAACCACCAGACTCTGCCCCTTCCTTCGGACAGCCAGAAGGAGGCAGGCTTTGATTGACAGCCGTCCTAGATGTCCACAGCAGCTCCAGAAATCTACTGTATCTGCCTTGGTCACAGAAAGCTTGAATTTCGGCCAATCAGCAGGCTTAAATCCAGACCACTTAGCAGGCTCGAATTTGGACCAATCACAAGGCTGTTGCTATTTAAACACTCACTGGTTTGGTCTAAGAGGGCTCCTGCTAGTATTGATCCTTGTGCTGCAGCACAGACCTTGTCCAAATAAACCCTTGCTCTCGTGGCCCTATAAATCTGCTCAATTATCTCTTCGGTAGTGTGTGCTTGGAAGGTCCTATAAAACTACCTGAGATTCTTATCCTGGATAGTGTGGGTTGAGAAGGTCTCTTCAAAAAGGAGCTGTATAACTGGGCATGGTTGAACAGGCCTGCAGTCCTAATACTATGGATGGCTGAGGGAGGACAAGCAAAGTTTGAGCCCAGTCTGCGCAATCTGGTGACTTAGAAAGTCTCTGTCTCAAATAGAAAAAGGCTGAGGATGTAGCTCAGTGCAAAGGCCCTAGATTTTATCCCCAGTAAAGCAATAAAGAGAGACAGACAGAAGGCTATAAACACTACAGGCTGCAGGCTGGGGATATAGCTCAGTAGCACAAGTGCCTGCCTGGCAAGCGCAACATCCTGAGTTCAATTCCCAGTACAAAAAAACAACAACAACAACAAAAAAATCACTACAGGCCGCTAGGACTTAAGAGTTCAAGAAACCTGTGGCACAAATCCACAAATATCACCAGAGCTGGAGATTGGCAGTGTCAGGCAAAGGCAATAACCAGGGGTGACAACTGGCCCTGACTGGTGTCAGTCAGCAGCATCCAGTGACAACAAGCAGGGATACATGGTGTTTGATGGGGATCCATGGATGACTGAAGTGGCTCAGAGTTGTAACAGTGCTGTCACAACAAGGGTGAGGGGAGCTGTCACAGTAAACACCTAGGCCAAGAGGCAGCTGGAATGCCAGAGCTTCAGCAACGAGGCCTGGAGCCTCTAGCAGAGCTGTACTTTGCTGATTCATAATTTCGGTCTGCATGAAGCAAGAGAAGCCTCAACCAAATGGCAAAGCCAGCACCTAGCAGTGTGCCTGGAATGTAGCAAGAAGGGATGACCAGGTGTTTTGTGAGTAACAGATGGCTTCAAAAGCCTAAAGAAAAGCACAAATAACCTCCAAGCTTATTTTAAGCTACACATGCGGTGTAGATGCGCTGGACCAGGCAAGATGGAGCAGGGCAGCACAGGATTTTATCACACTATTTGGCATAGTGCAAAACTTTAGGAATTGTTTATTTCTGGAGTTTTCCATTTAGTATTTTCAAAGCATGGTTGAGCACAGGTAGGTATAATCACAGAAAGTAAAACCTCAGAGAAAGGAGGACTGCTGGGCATGTAATCACCTGCGGGAAGCCTTCCAAAGAAGCCCTTGGTGCTGTGGTAGTCAGCAGTGTCGGTGGGAAGTGGGGAGGAGTGCGGGAACCCAGCCACATGGATGAGGGGATATTAAGCTGTACCTGGCATGAAATGAGTATAAGAGTCAGTTGGAAGACCACAGGGATCAAAGCTGAAGAGTACTGATGAAACTAAGAAATTTAAGGCATTTATATTAGGTGTTGGGAGGAACTCATAGCAGAGGTTTCATCAGGGTGAGAGAAGAGGAAGTCAGGCTGAGGTTAGAGGAGCCTTCTCTATGTATGGGTGTAACAGTCTCAAAGTTGTTTATTTCAAAGAAGTATCTACGAGGGAACCATAGAATTCAAGAGACTCACAAAGTAAAATTTTAGCCATAAAATGGCATGAACTCAGCTAATAGCTTTTTCTATACCATCTACTTTGCAATTTAACACTTCATATGCTTTCAAAAATGCCATCTCTCAGATCCTCGTAAGACACCTAACTTTTTAGCTTCTTTTCAGAAATAAGAATCCTGCTCAGGGAGAAGAAAGGATCTGCCCAAACATACAAGAAAGCCAGCAATGAACCAAAAATTAGAACCAAAGTCCCCAGCTCCTACTCTCTCACAGGCAGAAATTCCGTTCCTTTATTTTGGGAGAATAGAGAATAGTGTAGCACACTATCCCAAACCTGAAATGCACAGAGACATAACTGCTGTAAGATACTCTCCCAGCAATTTCCCGTATCATTTCAAATTATTTCATTTCTGATTCATGCAACAAACTGATTCCAACACTTCCATTTTCAATTTTTCCTGCTCCTAACCCTTGACACAAGCGCAAAATGTGCTATAACCACACGTATTCCCAGGCACCAGAGGACATTTAAAGCAGCAGTTCCCATCATTAAACTAGCATCCTTCACTACAGCATCACCATCATTACTTCTGCCAACTAACTGCTCAATGTCTCAAACATTGTCTCAATGTCTCAATGTCTCCCTCTACTGAGCTTGCTTATAGTGTAAGAAGAGCTGTACCATAATTACTATTTATAGGTTACCTAAGCTGAAAAAGCACTTGACAAGTATTATGTCATTCAATCATTATAACAACTCCTCAAGGTTGGTACTTCTGGTGTCCTCATTTAACACAAGAGGAAAATGAGGGGCAGAAAGGTTAAGAAATCTGGCCAAAGCCACATAGCTAGTAAGCAGTGGAACCTAAAGTCATCCCCACCAAGCTTAACTCAGCCTTTCCTCAGACACCTCACTATATTTACAGTGCAATGGGTTCTTTTTTTTTTTTTTTCAAAATCTATACTGAAATCAATCAAAAGGTTAAAAGGTAATGTAAGCTATCTAGATGTAAGAGAATTTCAAAAGTTATGCTTTTAGATATTCCTTAAGAAACCTTGACAAACTAAATGTAATCAAAATACACATGAAATGGCTAGCTCTTACATATTCTTTTACTGAAGAAGGGAAACCGAACCTAACCCACTTACCTTGTTCATAAAGGGGAAACATTGAGCACTCAGAGATAAGGGCTGAGGCAGACTGGAATCAGTGTGGGAACAAACGAGTACTCTGGAAACTACCATAATAAAAGCACCAGGAGCACAGGCCCACTGAAATGACACAGCATGGAAGAAAGCAGTATGGCAAGAGGCTAGCACATCCAGCAACAGTGGTAGAAGACTTCTGCTCTTTTCCAGGGTACGATTTCATGGACCCCGAATATAAACCATGGAGTATAAATTACATGATTTTCCCAGGAAACCCACGCTGGCCACTCACAGTGCTCTCCTGTATCACAGTTTTCTCCAAATACTTCATGACAGTCATATTCTTCCACCCACCTCACACCATATGGAAACACTTAGACAGCTTCACCATACCAGGCAGTTAAGAGATTGCTCGGAGGAAGTCTGCAGACTGGGCCAAAAGTCTAATTGTAGAATATCTCAAAATACATACTCACTACTTTCAACTCTGCAACAAAATTGTGAGTCAGCTATGCACGACTGCTTAATCCATCATCCCAACAGGTAGCGGCTTCAAGCAACAAAGGTTTATTCTTTCTCAGGATGCTTTATAATGGCAATCAGGGTGGTTCTACTGATGTCACCAGTGGGGTCACTCGTGTGACCAGAGTTAACCCACAGTTTGTCGGGGGCTGGAGGGGTTCACACACTGCTGCTGTTTGGTGCTCCACGCTCCTATGTGGGGCACATCCTCCAGCAGGAGGGACTGAGTTTTCTCACAGTACAAGACTTCACGGTTGCACAGCACAAAGCCAAGGGGTACAAAGAATCCTAAGGGCCAGCCTTCCTTAGCCAATGCACACCAAAGACCAGCCCAGATTCAATGGGAGAAAATCACTCCATGGAAGGAGCAATAATGGCACCTTAAAAGCAGGCAGCCAGGACAACCTACTTCATCAAGTGTATTCTCAATAGTTACTAATAAAGAAAATTAGTTGGAAAATTACATTTCACAATGGATCTTTTTATCAAGCCCAGGGCCTCACACACGCTAAGTACAAGTTGCACCACTAACCTATACCCAGCCCAAATGGGTCTTTAACATATGAAATGCTACAAAGGTTGTCCCCAAGACATACACACTCAGCATTTCAGCCAACACAGACTGCATATATGAAGGTGGTCCCATAAGATTAGATAGCCCAGTGACATGGCCCCATCGTAGTTTGTGTAAGTGCACTCCATGCCGTTCACACCATGACAAAAACCACCTAATGTTGCATTTCTGAGTGTATCCCTGTCTTTGACACCTGTCTGTCTACAATTCTGTACACAATTAAACTTACTTAAAATGTTTATATACATTTTAAATATACATTTAAATGTATATGTTTATACACATTGTGATGTATAGTTGAAATATACATAAGCACTTATACATATACATTTTAAATGTATATGAAATATGTATAATTGTATACATATATTTATGAAAAATTATGTTCCCAAATCAGAATTTCAAAGCCAGTGGGCACCTTCTTGCCGTATGGTTTATCTCTGCCAGCTTGGGCATTCCTCTTGCAATAATCTACTTGGTCATTTCCAGTACAGAAATTGTTCCTGAGTAGTAATGATCAGCATCATGTTTACTCCTTACGCAGAGTCAGTATCTGCCCTTCTATTTTAAGAAGTTTTCTGTCACTTGTCCTATTATATTTCCTGGAACTGAGAACACAGAGATAGGATAATGTGATGCATATCAGAGGACAGCTCAAGAGTCAGACTG